CTCCAACCTACTGGCTATGGCCTCCAACCTAATAGCAATGGCCTCCATGCCAATAGCGATGACCGCGAATTACTTGCCCATTAGCACAGTTTAGCTGATTAGCCTGGCACCCCCTGCAAAAGAGATAAAAGTGTCCTTGCTACTAAGAAAGGCCAGGAAACGAGTTGCAGCCAACGGTGCGGGGTTCTGAAGAGATTACCTTCCTAAGGAAGGGTCCTCGGCTCCTGCACGGTGGCGCCAGCTGGCAGCTGCCCATGCCTCCACAAGAACCCCGTATGATCCTTGGCAGCAGTCCGTCGTTAGATGCTTGGGTCGCAGTCCAAGTAGCGCGGGGGAGAGCCTCTCAAGACTTACAATGTTTCTTGGATTAATGGTGGCCCCATGTTGCCTCTTTAGCTTGATTTCAGTAGTCCGCAAAATCGATAATTACTGATTCAGATTGGTTCTATTTTCTTGTGTGGGACACAAGAGCCCCATCTGCAAGTGCAACAAATTTGAAAAAGGCCCAGCATCAGCCAAGGTCAAGATTACTAAGATTAGTCTCTGGTCGAGGATGGGAACTTGGGGGCGGTATATCCAACCGTTCTCCACCAAGCAGTGAGGTTTCGGTTCGGTTGGAATCGGTTTGAATGTTTAATTGAATCTTCGAATCGGTTCGGTTTGGTTGAGGAAGCTTTTGTTCATGCATTTTCGGTTCGGTTCACGGTTCGTTTCGGTTCGGTAAGGGATAAGTTACCCTGTGAGACAAGACAAGAAATAGATAAGACAAACAAGACCAGAGAAGACAAAACAAGACATGATGTGATGTGACATGTCATAGCAAATCAAGATCTACTTGGTAGATTTCCTGTCCAATATGCTTTCTAGACCGCCTGGAAAAAGCATATTCACAAACAGCTGTCTTTTCCTCAGCTTCTCATGGCTCAGAGGTTGTCTTGACTTACTTGTTGTCGACACGATGTCCCTCATGGTGCCTTCGTACATGATGCCAGAGCAGCTGCGCTTGGCTCGTGTGCAGCTTTGTGTGGGGCTGTTCCTGTTCAGACCTGCAGCGTTCAGCCCTGCAGCAGCGCAACCGCACGAGCAAGCAGAGCGGAAGAGCGGAAGACCTCGTAAGGGCACAGCTGTGGCTGTGCAGGGCACAGGCAAAAGTGGCCAGTGTCGTCAGGTGGGGGTTGAATATGCTTTTTTCTGCTTGATGCAAATGCATATTTGGCTGCCTAAAGTCCTAAAGGTGTTTATGATGGGCCGCCTTCTGTTCTGAGTGCTTAAATGCTTTTTGCGAATCGGAAAAAATGCATTTTGGAGTTGCCCTGCACATGGCGCAGGCGGACCAGCAGATTCAATATTTGCAGAGCCGCCCTGATGTTGCTTGCTTGACGAAGACTTCCATGTGTCGCTTGACCAAAGAGATCTTGCAGACCATCGTCAAGGAGCGCAACAGTCAGAGAGACCCATGGCTTCCGTGCAAGGAAAACTCCTTGGCTGAGCTCAAGATCTCCGCGGCAGCTCTAGCCGTCCTCTCTCATGCCGCTGAAGCATACGTGGTTCAGAGGCTGGTGCAGGGCAATGTGCTCGCCGCTCACCGTGGGAAGAAGACTTTGACTGAGAAAGACCTTCAAACTCTGCAGACAGTGGAGGAGGTTGCGGCTGGCCATGTTTGCAAGAAGCCGAGAACACAGTGAGGGCGGTTTTTGGGTCGATGGCCTAGGGTGTCAATGCTACGCATTGTTGTAGGGATTTGTGTCAAGATGATGCTCTTGAGCTTGAAAATGCGCTAGATTGCATTTGTAGTGAGCACGCTTCTTGAGCTTCTTGAGCTTTGTCAGTGTGTACGCTTCTTGTCAGACATGCTAGACTGCATTGTAGTTGTGTCGAAGGGATGCATTTTTTCAATATGCTTTTTGCAGCAGTTGGTAAATGCACATTGCACATTCCAAGCCTTGCGTTAGCCTTACTAGACTTGTGATGCTTGGTTACTTACATTTGGTTGCACGGACTAGAGGAACATGAACACTCTTGCGCCGTTGATTTTAGGAGCTCGAGAGCTGTCCAGTAATGTAGATGTTTTTTGACCCCATGTGCTACAAATGCCTGCTGCCGCAGAAAGAAGCTGGGTGCACAGGGAATTCTGGCCGGCAAGACCAGGAGTGCCTGTGCGGTTTTGTAGAAGGTGCAACGCAGTTGAGCCAAGTCTAGAAGAAGTACAGAATGTGATCGATCGTGGTGGCAAACCACGCCGACACTGGAAAGGAGCTTGCGGCTTCGCCAGCACCAGTGCCATGGTGAACCACATGCGAGACTGCCATGAAGATGCTCTACCAGAAACGGTTTCCACCGAGAGGAGCACACCTTCAAAAAGCGCCAAGAAGGTCGACCTGCAACTGATGAGAGAGTGGGTGATCTACTTGGTGCTAGGCTGCCTGCTTCCTTTTCGTCTTGTGCACAATCGCTATGTCAAGGCTTTTTTTGTCCCCTCGCTTGCCGGGCCTTGGTGGGAAGCATGCCTTGGATTTGGAATTCAAAGCTGTCATGCAAGACTTGCGAGAGAAGGTTTTGTCGATGATCCGGGCAGCACGAGACAGCGGCTGTCGCTTTACCCTATCGGCTGACACCTGGAAACCCAAAATGAAGAGGCGAAAACATTATTTGGCGTGCCACTTAGATTGGACACAAAAAGACTGGAGCCACACTAGCGTGTGCATCTATGTCGGTGTGGCAGAAGCACCGCGGACAGGCGAAAGTTGACAGGTTGGGTGTCTGTTTTGGCCCCTGTGCGGGGCCCCGGCGTGGCGAGTGCCTGGTTGTTTTTTTGGCCCCTGTGCGGGGCCCCGGCGTGGCGAGTGCCTGGGTGTTTTTTTGGTCCCTGTGCGGGGCCCCGGCGTGACGAGTGCCTGGGTGTCTTTTTTTGGCCTCTGTGCGGGGCCCCGGCTTGGCGAATGCTTGGGTGTTGCTTTTGGCCCCTGTGCGGGGCCCTGGCGTGGAGAGTGCTTGGGTGAGCTTGTTGGGCCCTGCGCGGGCCAATGTGGTAGCATGCGGAAATGCTTTTTTTGCACGCTGGAAAATGCATATTTGTCTTTGGGCCCTGGCAGGTGATCGCTACACAGAGCTTTTCAAGAAAGCGTTGGAGTCGGTGGAGCTGACGCCAGAGCACATTCAAGCGTCCGTTTCAGACCACGAGGGGGGCGATTCGAAAGGGTTTGCGCGGCCTCGGTGCGCCCCTGATAGGGTGTGGATGTCATTGTTTGCAGCTATGCTGCAAGCACGCTTTGCCAGATCTGAAAGAAAGGACCAAAAAGAGGAAGTCTGCCGCTGCCAAATTGGATTCGGACTCTTCCTCATCAGACACTTCTGATGAAAGCTCGTCTTCTTCGAGCAGTTCGTCTTCTGAAGCAGAGGTGGCTGAGAAGAAGGCACCCATGGCGCCTGGTGGTGTGAAAGGGCCCAAGGGCGACCCCGCCTCTGTGGAGTGCAAGGCAAAGCTGAAGGAGTCGTTCAGCAGGTACCGGTCGATTGTGCGATACTTTGCTTCCCACGATGACATGTACAATGAAATGTACTCAGCAGCTGCACAAGCCGAAGTGCCTTGCGTTGCCTACCAGCATGAAACCCCAACACGTTGGAGCTCCGCCCTGCTGCAGATTGTTTCTGTCATCCGCAACAATGCAGCTCACGCATTGCTGAGGTTCTGTTCTGAGAAAATCAAACATGCGTTTCCATTCCACGCTGGTTTCACTTGTAGAGAAAATTGCCAAAATGCGTTTGCATTCCACCCAAAAATGCATTTACCATCCCTGACAGGACTCGTCGTCCCAATGTTGCCGACATGCCCCACGAGCTCGACAGGAGTGAGCTGCGGGTTGCTCTCCAGTTCTGTGCTGTTCTGGAGCCTTTTCGCTTAGGAACCAAACTCTTGGAAGGGGATGACAAAGCGCTAGCTTCTCTTTACCTCCCGGTCTTCCACAAGTGCATGGAGACCCTAGAGGTCACTGGGTCAGCGCAGCTGCCTTACCCGAGAGAGCTTCGTGAGATGCATGGCCAGGGCTGCAAAGCTCGCGAGTTGGAGGTGCTACCAAAGCACTTGCTTCGCTTTTTGCACCAAGACTTGAACAAGGTCAGAGAGAAGCACTTTCAAGGAACTACTGGGGAGGCATGGCTTCTGGCCGCCAGCTATGTTGATCCTCGATTTCGAGGCCACAGCATGTGGGAGAAAATGAGCAAGAAGGAAGTGAAGGAGATGATTTGCAAAATGGTTGTGGAATCACACGAGAAGTACCCAGAACTTCGGGAAAGATTGAGGAAAGCAGCAGAAGATCCTATGAATCACAAGCTTGAGACCTTGGGGCGCCCGGAGCCAAAGAAGACAAGAGGCAGAGGTCGTGGTCGTGGAAGGGGAGCAGGGCGGCAAGAGAAACCTAAATCTACCAGTGAAGCTATTTTGCGAGACTCTGCCTGCGCAGCCGCATCGGGTCCTGCAGTGAGGCTGCAGCCCGGTCCTCGCGCGCTCAAAGAGCGCACTAGTGCTGAAGACTGGCTGTTTGGACCACAGCCTGACCGGCGTCCTGCAGCTGAGGTGGCTGTGCTCGATGACCTGAAGGAAGTCACTGGGTCAGCGCTTTCAGCATTTCCCGCGTCGTCGTTAATCATCTTTCGGGGCAAAATGCGTTTTCCATTGTCCAAAAAAAAGCATTTTCACACGAAAGCCACCGATGACTCCACCTTCCTTAAATGCTTTTTTAACCAGAAAGAAAAAGAATATTTGTAGTTGACTCACTGCAGCAAGGTTCGCAAGCAAGTGGAAGCTGAGATGTTGCACTATGAGCGCCTGAATGTCACAGGAGAAAGCCCTTTGTCTTGGTGGCGCAGCCATGAAGGACAGATGCCAGTGCTCGCCCAGTTTGCGCAAGCGGCTCTTGGAGTGCCTGGCTCCAGCGCAGCTTTGGAACGGCTTTTCTCGAAAGCCGGTTTGTTCATCACCAGGCGCCGCCCGCGCTTGAAGCCGGGCCGCGCCAGTGACATGTTGTTTGGGCACGCCAATGTGCAAATGCTTCTGTGACCTCGGACAGCCCTCGAAGAAACGTTGCGGATCTCGGAGCAGGGGGGAATTCCGGTTCGTAATTTTTTCCGGTTCGGTTGTGATGGGATAATTGACGGTTGTAATGATTCGGTTGATGAAAAATTTCGGTTCTTGACATTCACGAGGTTTCGGTTCTGAACAAACGGTTCCGAATCGATTCGGGACCCTTCCTGACCAAGTGGAGAACTGCGATGATATCCCATTTGTTGCTTGGGAGAACTTCATTTGGTCATGTTTTCGCACATGGCTCATTTATGGATTCAACATGCTAATTCCATCAGCTTTGGTCCCTTTTACCATCCCTTACCTCCCATAAATCCGAAAGATCATTGGTGAGACAGCTCCAATCACTCAAAGTGAGACATGGAGACTTGCCGGGAGGATTTTGCCGGGTCTTGCCTCAAAACATGAGGCAAAGACCAAGTTTGCCATTCGATCGTCCTCTTGCCCAGGATGGAGTTGCCCAACTGCTTGCCAGATGAGTCGCTTGGCGAGGGGAGAGATCAGAGCTTAGTTTCTGTATGTTTTTGTATAACAACAATACACTAGGTCATAATAACTATTTAAATATAGCTATCATTATGTCAGAGTCATTCATTTGCACTACAGGACGTTCTCATTCTATGGATTTGTTGCAATGTCCAGCAACTTGCATCAATGAACCTTACTCTGTGAAAGAGGGAAGACAAAGTTGGGCTTCTCACTGGCTGAGCTCCAAACTGTTTAGCCGCAACAGAATCATCACCGGCATTCCCCTATGTACCCAGTCCGTGTGACGGACCTCTGCAGTGTCTCGATCCTTGCAGCTTTGAAGCTTGGTCCCAATCCCAAAGCTTGGTCGATTCTATAACTGACGATATTTGTTTCATTTTATTTCCTTCAGTCCTACTCGGCATCGCGCTGTCCGAAAGAGACCGAGGCTGGACGCCAACGCATGAGGCTCTAATCCCCTCCGGATCCATCGGATTCGTGGATTCGTTGATGACCCGAGCGGAGAAGGGCGCGAGGGTTCCTTTGGGGGATCTTTTGTTGCTAAAGGTAGAGCTGTGAATGGTTTGGTTTAAACATTGCTTGGACCGAGATGTGTTTCTCCCACCGGAGGAAACAGGTTTTTTCATCCCTCGACTTGGAAGTCTTTCCGAGCTCCGGTCATCAATGAGTTCCTTCCATGGGAGCTTCCCGACGCCGAGAGCGTTTGAAACGGGAAGCCTGGAGGTGCTGTTGAAATGGGAGTCTCCATCAAGCTGTGCGAAAAGGTTGAAGGACTACTATCGATTTTGAAGTGAGATGACATGAAGAGCATACACGGACTCCAAGAAACCATCAGGGCCCTGCAAACTTCAAGGAACCACCGCACAGGGAAAAGAAAGACTTGAAGAATAACCCACTAGCATTAACTGTTGAACTGTTTAGTTTCAATATACTAGAATAGTCTTGTATTCCCGGAGTACCTCAGCATCAGCTAATCAAGAAAACAACGTTACTACCTTCCTTGGATCTCAGGGATTGGGACGGGATGAGTCGATCTACTGCAGATGTCATGGCGCTTGTCAGTCTCCGTTCGTTCGCAACGACAACAGTGCAGATGTTCGACCGTGTGTCATGGCACCCCTCCTGCCAAGCCATGTTAGGTTGACATCCCCTTTTTGAGGAGTGCCAACCAGGCTGGCCAAAGCTAAAGACCCCTGAGGAAAATCTGATCAATTGGGGGCGATGTTTGAGATGTGCCAACATTTAGGGTCAGAACAGGGCTGGGAACACCAAGGCCCTTTGAAGCCTGGGAGAGGTTCACTAAGAAGATGCTGGACAGGTCAAGTTCTTCATCCAATCCCAACTAAAACCAATGTTAAGTTCAGGATTCATACTTCAAACATTTGGTTGCTTAGGGCGCTACATGGACTCCCTTTTCATCCGTTCGGCGTGCTGACTCAGCGACAACATCGCAGTTGGCGCAGCATCTTCGGACACCGGATGCCACCGGATGCCCGGACGCAAAGAGTCACCGGAGGCCCCCCGGTCTCTAAGGTGAGCATGCTTGATTCACCAGGCAAGATGACCAGGCGGAACGACGGATCTTCCTCCCACGCGTCTGGAACCATTCGGTGGAAGTGGCCGGTGACCACGCGTCTCGAACGTTTTCCACCAGCCATGGTGAAGTCTATTTTGCAGTGACTGTTGCGGGCACTGTGCTGTCCGGACCAAAAGACGCAGCGGATCAGAAGTCACAAATCATTCGATTGGCCCAGGCCCGAATCGGAGAAAGAACCGAACAACTTATAGCGTTTTCTTGGTCCTGTCATACTTTGATTTTCTTTTTGACCCTGTCTTTGCCTGTTCCCATCGTCTTCCTGTGTGGTTTAGTCCTTCTTGTCACTTCTTTGCCGAGTGCTACTGCTTGGTTGGTAGGCCCTGCTGACAGCTTCGAGGTTGCGCGGGCGATGGCTGATCTTCTTCTCTTTGGTAAGTTTGCTGGCCTGCACAATCAATCACGCCCTTTGTATACAGAAGTGCCTCTTGACTACCTTTATGATCGATGTTTCTCGTCGTAGACCGGCCGGTTCGTGGGGCTGCTGTTTTCTAGCGCCGATGCAGTGAACATAAGCATGCTGGACTAAATGAAGCTATTAGTCAATCAGAAAGTTTCTCTTCCACGCACAAAGAGACTTCCCATGATCATGCGAATACTTACCGCACTTCTTCACGTGCCGTTTCTCGCAGCATCGCCGTAGCAAAGAGGCCAAATAGCAGGATGTGGCAAGGCTTTCAGTCTGACTAGGACCTAGGATGTGTTAGGTTGGAGGCCATCGCTATTAGGTTGCAGGCC